TTGATACTTTAGATATTAACTTCTTATCAGATTACATGATTTATGAATATTTTCTCCCATTTGATAGCTTGCCTTTTTATTTTGTTGGCGATTTCCTTTGTTGTTCAGGAGCTTTTTAGTTTGATGTAGTTTCACACTTATTTTTGCTTTTATTGCCTTTGATTTTGGAATCAGATCCAAAAAAATCATCACTGTAACCAGTGTTGAGGAGCTTATCACCTATGATTTTTTCTAGGAGTTTTAGGGTTTCAGATCTTACATCTTTAATCCATTTTGAGTCAAGTTTTGTGTATGGTATAACATACCATGTATGGTCAAATTTTATTCTTTTGCATATGGCTGTCTTAACTTTCTCAGCACTATTTATTGAAGAGACTCTCCTTTTCTCATTGTTTTGTATATTCTTGGCTCCTTGCAGTAAGTTAATTTACCATATATATGTGGGTTTGTATCTGGGCTCCCCTGTTCCATTGATTCTGTGTCTGTTTTTATGCCAATACCATACTGTTGTGATTACTTTGTAGTTTAGTTTGAAATCTGGAAGCATGATACCTTCAGCTATATTCTCCTTTCTTTGGCTATGTTTGGGATTTTCCAGACAAGAATACTGGAGTGGGTTGCCATTTCCTTCTCCATGGGTCTTTTGTAGTTCCATACAAATTATAGAATTATTCTATTGCTACAAAAAATGCCATTGGAAATTTGATAGGAATTGCATTGAATCTGTAGATTATTTTGGATAGTATGGGCATTTAATAATTCTTCCAATCCATTAGCTTGGAATATATTTTCGTTTATTTGTATTTTCAATATCTTTCATCACTGTTGTATAGTTTTCATTGTATAGGCCCTTCATCTCCTTGGTTAAATTTATCCTAGGCATTTTATTGCTTTTTTGTTTTGTTTTATAATTTTCATTTTATATTACAGTATACTTGATATACTTAGATATCAAGTGTACTTACATTAGCATATAGCATATACTTGAGTATAATCCCACCACCTCTAGAATGAAAACCACAGTCACAGAAAGCTAACCAAAATGATCACAGGGATCACAGCCTTGTGTAACTTGGTGAAATTGTGAGCCATGCTGTGATGGATAGATGGGTCATGGTGGTGAGTTCTGATAAAACGTGATCTACTGGAGAAGGGAATGGCAAACCCCTGAAGTATTCTTGCCTTGAGAAGCCCATGAACAGAATGAAAAGGCAAAAAGATATGACACCAGAAGATGAGCCTCCCAGGTCAGTAGGTATCCAATATGGTACTGGGAAAGAGTGGAGAAGTAGGTCCAGAGAGAATGAAGTAGCTTGTCCAAAGAGGGAATGAGGCTCATCTGTGGGTGTGTCTGGTGGTGAAAGTAAAGTCCAATGCTGTAAAGAGCAGTGTTGCATAGGAGCCTGGAATGTTAGGTTCTTGCATCAAGGTAAATTGGACATGGTCAAGAAGGAGATACCAAGAGTAAAGATCAGTATTTTAGGAATCAGTGAACTAAAATGGATGGAAATGGGTGAATTTAATTCAGATGACCATTGTATCTACTGGTGGACTAGCCCTTATAGTCAACAAAAGAGTTCAGAATGAAATACTTGGCTGCAGTCTCAAAAATGATAGAATGATCACCGTCTGTTTCCAAGGCAAACCGTTCAGCATCACAGTAATCCAATCTGTGCCCCAGCCACTAAAGCCAAAGAAGCTGAGGTTGACTGGTTTTATGAAGACCTACAAGACCTTCTAGAACTAACACCTGAAAAGTGTTCTTTTCATCATAGAGGATTGGAATGCAAAGGTAGGAAGTCAAGAGATGCCTGGAGTAACAGGCAGGTTTGGCTTGGAGTACAAAAAGAAGCAGGGCAAAGGTTGAGTTTTGCCAAGAGAGCGCGCTAGTCATAGCAAACACCCTCTTCCAACAACACAGGAGGTAACTCTGCATGTGGACATCACTAGATGGTCAGTACTGAGATTAGATCGATAATGTTCTTTGCAGCCAAAGATGGAGAAGTTCTTACAGTCAGCAAAAACAAGACCTGGAGCTGACTGTGGCTCAGATTGTAAGTTCCTTACTGAAGAATTCAGACTTAAATTGAAGAAAGTAGGGAAAGCCACTAGACCATTCAAGTATGACCTAAATCAAAGCCCTTATGATTATATAGTGGAGGTGATGAATAGATTCAAGGGATTATATCTGGTAAACAGGATGCCTGAAGAACTGTGGATGGAAGTTTGTAACATTGAATAGGAGATGGTGACCAAAACCATCCCAAAGAAGAAGAAATGCAAGAAGGCAAAGTGGTTGTCTGAGGATGCCTTACAAACAGCTGGGAAAGAAGACAAGCAAAAGGCAAATGAGAAAGGGAAAGATATTCCCAGTTGAATGTAGAGTTCCAGAGAACAGCAAGGAGAGATAAAAAGGCCTTCTTAAGTAAATAGTGTGAAGAAATAGAGGAAAACAACAGAATGGGAAAGACTAGAGATTTCTTTAAGAAAATTGGGAGATACCAATTTCATGCAGAGATGGGCACAATAAAGGACAGAAACAGCAAAGACCTCACAGAAGCAGAAGAAATTAAGACGGTGGCAAGAATACACAGAGCTATACAATAAGATCTTAATGACCCGGATAACTACAGTGGTGTGGTCATTCACCTAGAGCCAGACATCCTGGAGTGTGAAGTCAAGTGGGTCTTAGGAAGAATTACTACAAACAAAGCTAGTGGAGGTGATGGAATTCCAGCTGAGCTATTTCAAATCCTAAAAGATGATGCTGTTAAAGTGCTGCACACAATATGTCAGCAAATTGGCAAAACTCGGCCTTGGCTACAGGACTGGAAAAGGTGTTTTCATTACAATCCCCAAGAAAGGCAGCACTGAAGAATGTTCAGACTACTGTACAATTGTGCTCATTTCACATGCTAGCAAGGTTATGCTCAAAATCCTTCAAGCTAGGCTTTAGGAGTCCATGAACCAAGAACTTCCATATAAACAAGTTGGGTTTCGAAGAGGCAGAGGTACCAGAGATCAAATTGCCAACATCTGTTGGATCATAGAAAAAGCAAGGGGATTCCAGAAAAACATCTACTTTTGCTTCATTGACTATGTTAAAGCCTCCAACTGTGTGGATTACAGCAAACTCTGGAAAATTCTTAAAAGAGATGGGAATACCAGACCGCTTTACCTGTCTCCTGAGAAACCTGTAAGTAGCTTAAGAAGGAAGTTAGAACCAGACATGGAACAGTGGATTGGTTCAGAATTGGCAAAAGGAGTATTTCAAGGCTGTATATTGTCACCCTGCTTATTTAACTTATGTGCACAGTATATCATGCAAAATGAAGTCTGGATGAATCCCAGCTGGAGTTAAGATTGCTGTGAGAAATATCGACAACCTCAGATATGCAGATAATACCACTCTCATGGCAGAAAGCAAAGAGGAACTAAAGAGCCTCTTTGTGAAAGAGGAGAGTGAAAAAGTTGGCTTAAAACTCAGCATTCAAAACATTCAAAAGATCATGGCATTCAGTCCCATCACTTCATGGGAAACAGAAGGGGAAAAAGTGGAAACAGTTACAGGTTTTATTTTCTCATGCTCCAAAATCACTGTGGATGGTGACAGCAGCCACAAAAGACGCTTGCTCCTTGGAAGAAAAGCTATGACAAACCTATACAGTGTATTAAAAAGCAGAGACATCACTTTGCAGACAAAGGTCTATATAGTCAAAGCTATGGTGTTTCAAGTAGTTATGTAGGGTGTGTGAGTTGGACCATAAAGAAGACTGAGTGCTGAAGAATTGATGCTTTTGCACTGTGGTGTTGGAGAAGACTCTTGAGAGTGTCTTGGGACAGCAAGGAGATCAAACCAGTCAATCCTAAAGGAAATTAACCCTGAATATTCATTGGAACGACAGAAGCTGAAGTTCCAATACTTTGGCCACCTGATGAGAAGAGCTGACTCATTGGAATAACACTCTGATGCTGGGAAAGATTGAGGGCAGGAGGAGAAGGAGGCAACAGAGGATGAGCTGATTGGACCACATCACCGACTCCAGTGGGCATGAATCTGAGCAAACTCCAGGAGATAGGACAGGGAAGCCTGGCGTGCTGCAGTCCATGCGATGGCAAAGAGTTGGACATGACTGAGCAACTGAACAACAACATACTTGATTTACAATATTGTATTAGTTTCAAGTGTACAACAAACTGATTCATCTGTACATATATGTATGTCTATTATTTTTCAGGTTCTTTTTCCTTATAGGTTATTACAGAGTTTTGGGTAGAGTTCCCAGTGCTATACAGTAGGTCCTTGTTGATTATCTATTTTATATATAGTAATATGTTTATCATGGGTTTCCATGGTGTGTTAGATGGTAAAGAATCTGCCTGCAGTGCAGAAGACCCTGTTTTGACCCCTGGGTCGGGAAGATCATAATTTGTTTTGATGCAATTGTACATAGTATCATTTTCTTAATTTCTCTTTCTGAAAGTTTGCTCCTAGTGTATTGAAATTCAGATTTCTGTTTATTAATTTTGTATCCTGGAACTTTACTGAATTCATTTTATTCTTAGAGTTTTTTTTATAGAGTCTTTAGGGTTTTCTGTATTGACAGTTTTATTGGGTTGGCCAAAAAGTTCATTTGGTTTTTTTCCATACCATCTTACAGAAAAGCCCCAGCAAACTTTTTGGCTAACTCAGTACTTTTTCCTTTCTAGTTTGGATACCTTTTATTTCCTTTTCTTGTCTAAATGGCTCTGGCTTGGCTTTCTGATAGTGTGTTGAATAAAAGTGGGTACTGTAGGCATCATTGTCTTGTTCCTGATCCTAGAGAAATTGTTTAGCTTTTCACCATCCATTGAGTGTTGATGCTAGCTATGGGCTTGTCATATACAGCTTTTCTTATGTTGAGGTATGTTCTCTTTATAACCACTTGGTTGAGAGTTTTTATTGTAAATGGATGTTGAATTTTAAAATTTTGTTTCTAATGGGCTTTTATCTTTTTCAGCAGGCATATGGCTATGGTCCATACAGTGGTGCATACCCACCAGGAACTCAAGTTGTCTATGCTGCAAATGGACAGGCTTATGCTGTACCCTATCAGTACCCATATGCAGGTAACTCATGCCAGCCTTTCATTCCTGGTTTCTCGTCATTTACTGTGTAGATCACTGAAGCCTGAGGAATTTTTATTTCTCAGTTTAGGGGTAAGTGAACTGTAATTTTTCTGGTTATAGATGACAAGTCACTGTGCTATTTAAAAAAAAAAGAAAGCATTATATCTTTTCACACTACTTTACAAAGTTAGAGTAGGCTTGATTTTTAAAACTTCACTGTTGTATTCAGAGTCATCCCCAAGATGAGAATTTGTACCTATTGAAATACACTTACATTAAGAAATAACCTAAGAGTACCATTTTAAGAAATAGGAGGTAATCTTTCTCCTGTTTTTTTCCTTCTGGTTTTAGCTTTCAAAAATGATCACTACGGAGGTGATGTTTCATTTTGCAGATGAAGTAGAGGCATGGAAAGGCTTATATTTACTCCTTTCATTTTCATCTCAACCTGAAACAAAGTGTTAGGTGTGAGCGACTGACCTGTGTAGATAGCATCAGAGGAAATCAGTCCTGAATATTCATCGGAAGGACTGATACTGAAGCTGAAGCTGTAGTACTTTAGCCACCTGATGCGAAGAACTGATTCATTGGAAAAGACCCTGAGGCTGGGAAAGATTGAGGGCGGGAGGAGAAGGGGACGACAGTGGATGAGATGGTTGGATGACATCACCAATTTGATAGACATGAGTTTGAGCAATCTCTGGGAGTTGGTGATGGACAGGGAAGCCTGGCTGCTGCAGTCCATGGGGTCTCAAAGAGTCGGACACGACTGAGCGTCTGAACTGAACTGAGATAGCGTCAAGTCCTGGCTGCAGCCTGGGCAGGGGGACGTCTGTAGGGTGGAGGTCAGGAATATGCTGGCAGTGGTGCTGGAGCCTACAGCCAGGGCAAGGGTGACCTGAGCTTTGTGACTGATGGCCTGAAGTGTGAGACCATACCCAGACCCCAGTGAGCAGGTGAAGTCAGGCAGGTGCAGTTCTCGGTGAGTATGGCATGTCACAGCGACACACAAGAGAATGAATTGATGAATGGATTGGAATGGGAGCCCAGAGGGTGCTGCGAGATCAGGAATATAGCACAGTGCCTTTTCGCAGAAGCAGTGGAAGGACAGTGTTACCAGAAGAGTGAGTGGTCACTGATATTAATGCCACAAAGAAGCCAGTGGGGTTGCCACAGAGACTGGATTTGCCTGGCCCTAGACTCACAGTTAGTGGTGGTTAGTGGTACATTAACACCTAATAGAGAGTTTCTCCAGTTACCTGTTTTGGGAATGTGATACTGATCATTAAGGTAGTGTAGACTCTGAAGAATTTTGGTTGATTTTTTTTGTGTGTCAAGTTGAAAATCAGTGAAATAATGATACTAAAAAATGAGCTATTTGTCTCTCCTCTGATCCTAGCACAGCTATTTTTGTTTAATTATTTTCTTCTTGTAAAATAATAGTTTCATCTTTGTTATACTTTTTTGGAGCGTGTTTGCTTTATTATGTTTTGTTTTGTTAATGGCATTACATTACTTTTTACATTCCATTCTCATTTAAAAATTTTATATATTTTGTCCAGAGTGCTACATAATCTTTGTAAGCATTTTTAATGATTGCATCCTATCATATGGGGTAATATTAAGTCTTCTAGTACTTATTGGCTGTTAACTTTTTCTTTTCAATTTTTCTGTCATAGATATTGCTTTGATTGTTTCTAATCAGTTTGTTTTTTATTCCTATTAAATATGTCTTAGAATACGTTTCTGATTTCTGTATGTTAATATGTCAAAGGGCATAAACATTTTGTTTTTGATACATTTTAAAATTATAAAAGTTTACAGTAAGGACAGTAAATGAGCTATTAAATTTACCTGTTACCAGTTTCAACAGTTACAGCATCTTGTTTCATCTGTACCTTTTTTCCCCAGCTCTGGATTGTTTTGAGGGAAGTTTATACTTTATTTCATTTCATCTGACAGTATTACAGTAATTTTTTTTTTTCATTTATTTTTATTAGTTGGAAACTAATTACTTTACAGCATTGTATTGGTTTTGTCATACTTTGACACGAATCAGCCATGGATTTACAAGTATTCCCCATCCCGATCCCACCTCCCACCTCCCTCCCCACCCCATCCCTCTGGGTCTTCCCAGTGCACCAGGCCTGAGCACTTGTCTCATGCACCCAACCTGGGCTGGTGATCTGTTTCACCCTAGATAATATACATGTTTCGATGCTGTTCTCTCAAAACATCCCACCCTCGCCTTCTCCCACAGAGTCCAAAATACAGTAACTCTTGATGCTATGCATTTACTAAGGTATTTCCCAGAGTAGTTCACCAGCTTATAGTGCCCCTTGGGATTGCTGATGTGCTGGTTCCTCTGCAGTTGCATCAAGATTGCCTGCTCTTCTTGTGCTCTGAAAGTTCTGATAACCTCATTAGGCCTTAACATGGAACCAGGTTGCCCTAGTTTACATTTCTCACGACTGGCAGAGATAGAGATTGTATAATTGTTTATGAATTAAATTTTCCCTTGTATTAATTATTTTTTTCCCATTTATTTTGGGGTTTGTGTTCAGTTTTTAAGTCCTGGCCTATTTGTCTGATGAGAGCCAGACTTTTCTTTCTTTCTTTCTTTTTTTAATCTTTTTTTTTTTCATTTATTTTTATTAGTTGGAGGCTAATTACTTTACAATATTGTAGTGGTTTTTGTCATACATTGACATGAATCAGCCATGGATTTACAGAGCCAGACTTTTATTCAGCCCCCTAGGCCATAGATGGGGATAATCCTAGCTGTTTCTTACTCTGTAAAAGAGAAGTTTTGTGCTTGTGAAGGGAATTTCTATACGTAGGATTCCATTCCTGCCTTTGAATTTCATCATGAACAACGAGACGGCATTCTTGGTGCAACCTCAGACAACTTGCTGCTGAGGGCCGAGTGCAGTTGGTAGGCATTTGGCATTTGCCTCATGACAGCCAGATGCCTACCAACCAATTTCAAAAGTGCTGTGTGCACACTGCTAGTGTGCTTGCTATGGAAGGCTGCCCCGCTGTGGTTGTCCCACAGCAGCATCGTGCTGGTAACCAGACAGGAGCCCTTCATCAGCCTTTCCAGGACACTGGTGCTTTGCCAGCTTCATGACACGCTGCCGGGCAGTGTCCACAGGGGTCCTTGTTGCGCAGAGAAGGTTACAGGCCTTCTCTTTAATATTACTGGAACTGGTGTCAGTCAGCCAATTTAAAAAGTGCTGTGTACACACTGCAAGTATTCCATTTTAATTTTCCCACATTTGCAGACATTTGTTCAGTTGTCTCTTAATCTGGGCTTGAGGTCTTTGGTTTGAGTGGGCTCCTTTGGTTGGAGTCCTCTGTTTCTGTCTTGTCCAGATGGTACTCATGACACGTTATTGCTCTGCAGTTTCCAGGGGCCAAGTCTGAGAGAACACCTCTAGATTTTGTAATTCTCAGTTTCTTGGTTTGATAGTAATTTGTAAAAGTTATCTGCCTTTGTTTAGTCTTTCCAGGATCTTCCCAACCCAGGAATTGAATCCAGGTCTCCCGCATTGCAGGTGGATTCTTTACCATCTAAGCCTCCAGGGAAGCCCAAAAGTATCTGACTTAGTTGTTCTTAAAATGTCTAACAATATCTTCCTTTTCTACATTCATGTTTGGATCATTTATGTAAAGATTAAATTAGGTAATTAAAATAAGTACAGTTTGGAAATGTTCCCCAGCTGACTTTGGTAAAGACTTAGCTTTTGGTCGGAACAGAGGTAAGCTGCAGAAGTTGGCTCCTGGTCATGCAGTAAGGGGGTCCTTCTGTGGAGCTAAAGCTGGAATGCAGATTTAGATTTTCCAGGGGTCTTTAAATTAGGTCAGCTACAGAGTCCTACTGTATTACATTTTACTGGTTGATGAGATTTTTAAAATTTTAAGGCTGTGATTATGAATGCTACAGTTTACCAGTTATGTCGTTTAAATATTACATAAAAAAAACTTTGCTTCTAATGCTATTGCCTGTGCTTGATAAGCCTTTAGGTTTATAGTGGTCTCATTTTCCTACTCTGTGGCTTTGATGCTTCTCTTTCCTTCATATTGGGGGCACTGGTGTCTGAGTGCACACTGTAGGCAGGGCACCTGGGCTGGCGTGCACTCACTGTGCTCAGGCCCCAGGTGCCTCCCGCTTTGCCTGTTTATAGAACACGGGTGACGGCAAGCTCACCTCCTAGGGTTGTTGTGAGGATTAAGTGAGTCTGTACATAGAAATGCTTGTAATACTGTAATTGCTTAGACTGGTAAGCACTTATCCTTTAGTATCTTCATTCTTCATGGACATATCACTGTTGGATCAATTTCTCATTTTCCTAGGATTGAACTGTTAAGAGAATAGTGGGTCAAGGAGGAAAGTTAACACTGTATGTGAGAAAATTTATTTATAGTTGTGCTGGGTCTTCGTGGTTGCATGTGGGCTTTTTCTGGTTGCAGAGACTGGGGGCTCTTCTCTTGTTGCAGAGCACAGGTTCTAGGGCATGTGGGCTCAGTGGTTGTGGCACATGGGCTTAGCTGCTTTGCAGTATGTGGAATCCTCCTGGTCCAGGGATCGAACCTGTGTCCCCTGCATTGGCAGATAGATTCTTATCCTCTGCACCACCAGGGAAGTCCTGTGGGAACAATTTTAAAGCTACCTAGCTTTTGGACAACATATTGTGAAATATGGAAGAAAACAAACATTTCCAATTGAGAACTTTAATTGTGCAAATAATTTTAAATTTGTTTAAAGTTTGTTTTTTAGATGTTTTCCTTCTGACAAATATTTTTCTCCATAAAGGCATAACATTAAAAATAAAGAGCGGATTATGTTAGCAGATTTAAGGTTTCATTTAAAAACAGTTTCCATGAATACCAAGAAGCTGTTTAACTTCTGGATGAGGCTTCTTGGCTCTCCCATAGTCTCCAGGCTCTGTGCCTGTCCTGTGCTCCTGGTCTGATGCTGTCCCGATGAACACAGTGTGGGGGCTGAAGCGGACATTGTGGGCTGGGGCTTGCAGCTTCATTAGGATTTGGCTCTCTGTAGTGTCTGGGACTGCGGACCTTGGGAGACTGAGCATCTTGATTTCCTCTTAGTTCCATCTTAGATATGGGGTGTCCGCCTCACTCGGCCGAGCCGAGTCCCAGGGAGCTGGGGAGCACTCACTGAGGTCACCCCCACCCCCAGCTCTCTGAGGGAGACGAGTCTGTGGGAGGAGTGCTGTGCATGGAGAAACCTCAGGCAAGTGAGCTGTCTTTCTGAGTGAATGTTGAACTTCACAAACTGCTCCTCGAGAGTCTGTTCTTTCCTTCTTTCTAGGACTTTATGGACAGCAGCCTGCCAACCAAGTCATCATCCGTGAGCGGTATCGAGACAACGACAGTGACCTGGCGCTGGGCATGCTGGCCGGGGCAGCCACGGGCATGGCCCTGGGGTCTCTGTTCTGGGTCTTCTAGAGTCCTCGGAACCTCGACGTGCATAGCTTCTGATACCCCGTGTGCAATAATATGATTTGCAGGGCATTTCTGTTTGTCACAAATATTTTTAGTAATAGGTTTAATAGTTCTTTTGAAAGTAGTGACAAAATGCTTATAAGTACATAGAAGTACTGCAGAGAAAGCTTTAGGCTGCTGTTCAGCTAACATGTGGACTATTTGGGGGCACCGGCTCATTTGAGGAGTTTCCTTATAAAACTCTCGCAATACTTTATTTAAACACGCCTGTTTTGAAAGGCCATTTTGTTTTTAGAGTTAGGTCTTAGTTCTTAAGGGATAATTTATTTTAGTGTTTCGCTGGTAACATGGTGATGTATGAGTGAATGAATGACCATGGCGAGAAAAGCTGCAGCTTCTTTGGTTTAATGTCAGACTTTCAAACGTCAGACCAGAACTGGCTGCATGTTACTTCAGGAGTTACAGGCTGGAACCTTCTTTAGGCAGCGGGGTGATATCCCACAGCCTCTGGGACTGGCTAGCAAAGCTGACTGCTCAGGATGATGGACAGCATGGCAGTTTCCCCCCTTGAAAATGATGCTTTTTCATTTTATTCTTGTTTGTTTTTGGTAGTGATACTTGGAAAGCATCCCAAATTAGGAGTAGACTTGAGTGTCAACATTTTAGGGCTTTATCATTTAACACTTGAGGAAGGCACAACAACTGCAAAAAAGTGTGTGGAGGTAGATTTATTTTTTTCAGGGGCATCATGGTTTTAGTGTTAGCTTTGAGCATTTTTTATTGCCACTTCAGCCTACTTATAGCTTATTTTTCTACTTGTTGAGAAAATAATATGAAGAGAATGGTGAGGAAAGTGAAATGAGAGCCATAGTTGCAGTAGTCCTGTTCCAGGGGACTGGGCTGCACTGAGGGTGTGTGTGATGTCCTTCTGAAGGCTGGTGATGGACCCATCTCGTGTCCTGTGTGGGACTGGGCACTGCTGCTGCCCCGAGCTCTGTGCTGCATGGTGGGGGAGCTCAGGCTACAGACGGGAGCTTCGGGCCAGAGACGTGAATGGCCTGCTCAAGATAATCTCCACCTGACCAGGACTCCGGCCTTGCTTTTATTTCTGACTTTAGTGTCACAGAGAAGCTTGAACCATTTAATTTTGAGCCCCAACTTAAATGTGAAGCTCTGAAAAACCAAGGGCCCTGCATTTCTGTAATTTTCTTATTTCTTTATCTATAACTTCAGTTATTCCAGTTTTCTGTCCCACATGTTTTAAAAAATGTACGTTTACAAAGGCACATCGAAGGTCTCTGCCGCTATACTCCATGTGGCCATGTTTCCATAAAATACACTCCTGGTAGCCCAAATTCTGTTTTTTATTTTGTGTGGCCAGTTACAGACACAGTGTTTTGTTTCATTTATCAGTCCACTCCACCTCTAAGGCAGACTTGAATAGATCTATCTCCATCTGAAAACTAGATGCCAAATGAACTCTATGGTGACCATAGGTCTGTTTCCCTAGCCAATTCTACTGTACCTGTTGACACTGGAGAGCTGTTTCCAGCTGAAAAGAAGTATACTTGGCTGTCATTTCTTTGGATGTGTCATGTGGTGGAAAGTTGCCAGATGCGATGTGTGACAATACTGGTTTTGATGGTTAAAAATGTTACTTAGTTTACATCATATGTAAGAAGAATAGCTTTGGTCAGATAGTAATTATTCAAGCTGTATCCTTTACAAGCAAAATACTAAACTCAGTTAATTTTGAACTAGGAATTACTGGAACGACAGATACTGAGTTATGTCCCTGAAATGCGCTTGAAGCAGATGGTCTCCCTGAGTTCTGCCCCCTGACAAGAGTAGAGGAGCTGTGGACTGAAGTCCTGACATACGTGTGTTCCCCCATCTCCAGTCCCTGTCCCTAGCCGGGCAAGCCATGTTGGGCGACTATAGTTGAGTCTGGAAGTTCACTGCCCTAGTGACTTGATCCTGAGAGGAAATGCGTGCTCAGCATAAAGATGGGCTGAGATGCTTCATTCCCCTGGCTCCAGTTCTCGTAGATGCCAGTCTTTTGGTCACCTCGATTAGGTAGTCCTAAATCAAGAAGTTTGGTGAGTTGGAAGGAATTTGTTCACTTTAACGAAAGTAAAATACTTAGTCAGCATTTTACTTCCATGTGTAATTTTAAATATTTGGCCGTTGATATTACACACATGCCAGTCTGCTTGTTTCTTTGCTCTGTTTGTTTAATTTCTTGAGTTAACTTCAGGGTTAGATTTAAAGAGAAGGGAGAGATGAATGACTGTGTTTCAGATAAACATTCATGAAATGGGCCGGACTGGGATGCAAGATCTGGATCATGGGACAAGTTCCCGCCATTGGTACAGAATGACCCACGTTTGTTTTCTACATTAATTGTGATTCTGTGCGATCTTTTACTCCTTCCCAAGTTTATAGACACCGGCATGAAATGCAGTTCCATTTCTTTTCCCCTTGGGTTGATCTTTTCTTTTCTCTTCTGATTGCTTGCCTGTTTCTAGTATTCTGTGGTGTCCTCTGAACCAGTTTTTCCCTGTATATGCAAATTGTATGTTTATAAGTGGAAATGTTAATACATTAAATGATTGTTAACCTTAAAGCATATTTCACTGACTTTATTGTTTTTTTTTAATTCAGTTCATTTAAACTATAAAGATTAAAAGTTCATGCATTTCTCCCATCCCCCACTATCTCCTCTGGCAAACACCAATCTGTTTTTTTTTTTTTTTAAATTATTTTGTAGTAACACAGCTTTTTCTGCTGCCTCACAGGCAATAAGAATGCCATTTATTGAGCTTTCCCTAAGTGCTAGGGAATGTGTTGTCACATCAGACAACAATAACTCATTAAATTCCTGTCTTAAATCTGTCAGTTCAGTTCAGTTCAGTTGCTCAGTCATGTCCGACTCTTTGCCACCCCATGAATCGCAGCATGACAGGCCTCCCTGTCCGTCACCAACCCCCAGAGTTTACTCAAACTCATGTCCATCGAGTTGGTGATGCCATCCAGCCATCTCATCCTCTGTCATCCCCTTCTCATCCTGCCCCCAATCCCTCCCAGCATCAGGTCGTTTCCAATGAGTCAGCTCTTCGCATGCGGTGGCCAAAGTATTGGAGTTTCAGCTTCAGTGTCAGTCCTTCCAATGAACACCCAGGACTGATCTCCTTCAGGATGGACTGGTTGGATCTCCTTGCAGTCCAAGGGACTCTCAAGAGTCTTCTCCAACACCACAATTCAAAAGCATCAATTTTTCGGTGCTCGGCTTTCTTCACAGTCCAACTCTCACATCCATACATGACCACTGGAGAAACCATAGCCTTGACCAGACGGACCTTTGTTGGCAAAGTAATGTCTCTGCTTTTTAATATGCTGTTTAGGTTGGTTATAACTTTCCTTTCAAGGAGTAAGAGTCTTTTAATTTCATGGCTGCAATCACCATCTGCAGTGATTTTGGAGCCCAAAAAAATAAAGTCTGACACTGTTTCCACTGTCTCCTCATCTATTTCCCATGAGGTGATGGGACCAGGTGCCATGATCTTAGTTTTCTGAATGTTAAGCTTTAAGCAAACTTTTTCACTCCTCCTCTTTCACTTTTATCAAGAGGCTTTTTAGTCCCTCTTCACTTTCTGCCATAAGGGTGGTGTCATCTGCATATCTGAGGTTATTGATATTTCTCCCAGCAATCTTGATTCCAGCTTGTGCTTCTTCCAGCCTAGCGTTTCTCATGATGTACTCTGCATATAAGTGAAATAAGCAGGGTGACAATATAGAGCCTTGACGTACTCCTTTTCCTGTTTGGAACCAGTCTGTTTTTCCATGTTCAGTTCTAACTGTTGCTTCCTGACCTGCATACAGGTTTCTCAAGAGACAGGTCAGGTGGTCTGGTATTCCCATCTCCTTCAGAATTTTCCACAATTTATTGTGATCCACACAGTCGAAGGTGTTGGCGTAGTCTCTAAAGCAGAAATAGATGTTTTTCTGGAACTCTCTTGCTTTTTTGATGATCCAGCAGATATTAGCAATTTGATCTCTGGTTCCTCTGCCTTTTCTAAAACCAGCTTGAACATCTGGAAGTTCTCGGTTCACATATTGCTGAAGCCTGGCTTGGATAATTTTGAGCATTACTTTACTGGTGTGTGAGATGAGTGCAATTGTGCGGTAGTTTGAGCATTCTTTGGGATTGCCTTTCTTAGGGATTGGAATGAAAACTGACCTTTTCCAGTCCTGTGGCCACTGCTGAGTTTTCCAAATTTGCTGGCATATTGAGTGCAGCACTTTCACAGCATCATCTTTCAGGATTTGAAATAGCTCAACTGGAATTCCTTCACATCTACTAGCTTTGTTTGTAGTAATGCTTTCTAAGGCCCACTTGACTTCACATTTCAGGATGTCTGGCTCTAGGTGAGTGATCACACCATTGTGATTATCTGGGTCATGAAGATCTTTTTTGTACAGTTCTTCTGTGTATTGTTGCCACCTCTTCTAAATATCTTCTGCTTCTGTTAGGTCCATACCATTTCTGTCCTTTATTGAGTCCATCTTTGCATGAAATGTCCCCTTGGTATCTCTGATTTTCTTGAAGAGATCTCTAGTCTTTCCCATTCTATTGTTTCCCTCTATTTCTTTGCATTGATTGCTGAGAAGGGCTCTCTTATCTCTCCTGGCTATTCTTTGGAACTCTGCATTCAAATGGGAATATCTTTCCTTTTCTCCTTTGCTTTTTGCTTCTCTTCTTTTCACAGCTATTTGTAAGGCCCCCTCAGACAACCATTTTGCCTTTTTGCTTTTCTTTTCCATGGGGATGGTCTTGATCCCTGTCTCCTGTACAATGTCACCAACCTCCATCTATAGTTCATCAGGCTCTCTGTCTGTCAGATCTAGTCCCTTAAATCTATTTCTCACTTCCACTGTATATTCATAAGGGATTTGATTTAGGTCATACCTGAATCCCTACTCTCTTCAGTTTAAGTCTGAAT